AGAAATAAAACTACAACACATTTATTCATTCTAACAACAGATGTAGACCAATAATAATTAATTATTAATTTTGTCTGCAAGCTCGTCCATAAATCCTCTGTAAAACACCAGTTCATATCCAGTTTTATGCTTGGAGGTTGGAGTCCAAGCATTAACTTTTACAGGGACTAATTCAGGAATCATTGGTCTCTTTGTATTCCTAATCCAATCCAGCTCTGAGATCAAAGATTCATATTGAATATCACTCTGAAACAAAAACAATGAAAAAACTTATAAAATAAGTAAATTAAAGCAGTTACCTCTTTCTTATCCAAGTACAAATCTAAAAGATGACGGAAAGAATTAATCATTGTCTTTGAACGTGTGAGTCCCAATGAAGACAAAAGAATTCTTCGTGCATCTGCTTTATTGATTAAACAACTTCCCTCTTGGTCAAATTCCCGAAATGCCATTTTCAATTTGTCAAAATCCATAAAGTTGTTCTTTCTTAATTCTTCTTGCATTAAGCAGATCAAATGATTTTGGCTAGTTTCATTGTGGTCATGTTGCTGCTGTTTTCTATATCTTCGCACTAATAAATAATTATTATAAACTTTTAAAAAATGACTATTGGCAAAAATTTCTTAAAAAGATCATTTATGGTTATTCTTTAACAGGCATTACACATTTTAGAAGCATTTTATAATAACATTATATACCTAGAGTGGTAATTTCATGGGCTGATAAGTTAAAGCCCAAAAATTCATCCAAAACTTGCATAAAAACAGATTCTGTGACAGCTCCTTGGTCTTGTGGGTCATCTCTTAAAAACCTGAAATTCATTAAATTGTCATTATTTTCTTATTCTCAACATTTCTAATTTGGTTCTGATTTGTTTATTTTGTACCTTGCCATTATTTGTTTAAACAAATGTCCAACCAATGAAACTATTTTCGCTAAAATGACTCTAATATTAGAATGTTTGAACTGTTCAACCATTTCAGGACGCTCCATGAAATCAAACACATATTGGTCCGCTGCTGTTAGAAGAAATGTGTAATAGTTGATTTCCAGCATTGCTCCAACAAAAAAATCCTACAATATTATTAATTTAATGTTACTTAAAATCTAGCAAATTTATATTTTACCTGTGGACTAAAATATTCAAATGTACTGTTTAGGTCAGAGCTTTTTTTAGGATTCAAGACTTTTCCACGTTCTAAAAACTTTATATTTCTTCCACCAGCCTAAAGATTTATCTAGATAATATGTTGTAATTTAAAATTTTAAACATTGTCATCTAGTTTAATACATTGAAATTTACCTTCCTATCATACTTGAGTAGATAATTACAGAGCCAAGATATAAAATTAAATAAAAGTATTTAAGATAAAGTAGATATAAAAGATAAAATTGTGCTTAAGAGAGTTGCAGTCCTGTGTAATACCAAGGAGAAACAAAAGCATTGGGCCAGAGAAAAAAAATCACTGCTTCATTTTAAAACTTTGTTAGAATTAGAATTTAAAATTAAATGGATAAAATAAAAGATTAAAGGTCAAAGTTCTTCACTTTACCTCTTCAGAAATAACTGTGATCATTATTGAGTCATCAGCCAAGAAATAAGAAATTAAAAACCGTCTTTTATCTTCTAAATTTCCATCTTTCACAAGTCTGGCATTAAATCTAAAAACAAAGTTAATATGTTTAAAGTCAAATCTTGGTATTTCAATACAAGTATTTCTTAACATTGCTAGATTAAGATACATTTTTAAGATGAAAATATAAATTCCCCAACATAATATACCTTAAAACGTGACCATCAAATCCATTTCTGTCCAAACTCATAAATTTTTTAAAATCTCGTCTAGTTTCAAACATCATTATTTTAACCTATAAAACTATACAGTTTATCCCAGAAATTTTAAGATATTCAAAGAATAAATAAAATATTGCTTTCTTATTCTACTGATAATGGAATGCTGCAGTGCTTAGTTTTAGATTGAAAATTGTGAAGAAGCTTTAAAACTATTCCTGCATATTTCATTATCCCATTAAAAAATTGTCAAGACAACATTATATAGATTCTTTAGATATTTCCAAAGTTCTGGTTGAAACTGTATTAATCTTTTGATCTAAAAAAAATGCCCTAATATGTGTGTTCTTAAAAAGGTACCAAAAATTTTTTTTAATACACTAAAAAGCTTTGTTGTTAATAAAAAAATCAACAATTTGTACTATAACAAAGATAAAATAGATTTAGCTCTGATTGAAAAAAATTAAAGATTTAGACTTGAAAGTCGAAGAATTTATTAATTTCTAGTTTTTATCTGAATAATAATATTTCCTTGGTGGTTTGTGTTGGGTAGTATTCCCGGCCAACCAGCTATCATCAGTTGTTATTGGCACATTATTTCTTTTCTTTTTCACCGTAGTACTTTCCACTTCAATTGGCTTCCTCATTTCTTCAGAGTAAGTGGATCTAAAATGAAACAAATCATATCAGAATTGGCACCATTTAACAAAAGTTTAATGAAGATGACTATTACAATAATTGCAACCTGTAATATTCTCTTGTGAACTCATCACAATTGTAAAGAAGTACAGAGTGTCCACATATATTAAGAGTTGCTCCTATTTTCAAATCCTTTGCACAATAATACTCAATTTCTCTTGGATTTTGATCCAAATTGTCCCTAAATATTTACATCAAAGTATGGTGGTAGGTCAACATATATATCAATACAAAATTGTTTACTAAAATTGTAATGTAATATGGAGGTTGTCATATATTTCTATGCCATGTCCAGTACTGAAATGCTACATAATAAAGAGTGGTCATTGTATAAACCACTGAATTATCATGTTCTAAATTACATAATATCACTATTTAAGTTACGCAACACTGTATAGATATTCATGCTGACCACTGTATGATTTGAAACCTGATGTTAAATGCTTAATTAATAATGTAGACACATTTCTTTTTATATTTTAAGACATGTGATAAAAGAATTGACTGTTTGACCCAAACTGGGACTTTTTAAATCAATTTATCTATGCAACCCAATGGTGAAGACTTTATATGTATCATAAAGACTTAATTTCTTTGTAGATTTTGTTAAACATCATAGAATGTCACCTTAACATGTAACTCTTTTTTCTTAATCCTAATCCTGGAGTTGTAATCACATTGAGAACAGTCTCTTCGACATTAGTTCCAGGTAAACTAACTAATTAATTACAAAATGATTAAATATTCATGAGAATGTTAGATTTAAAAGAAATGTAAATATATATATATATATTTAAGTAAAGGTATATAGATAGTGACAGACATTTTCATACATTTATAATTTATCTTTTAACATTAAGACGCAGGGAGGACAGGACATTTGGCACCCCTCTCTAGCTTGTCTTGATGTAAGTTCTATAGGTCTTTGGAATCATTTTCGAATATGCTTCTTTACAACTTTATGGGCTTTTAGAAAAGTTAATGTTTGCCCACTTTTTGCAATTCACATTGTGCATGTTGTTAGCCCAATTTTAGGTCAAGATTATTAGCATTATTGTAGACGCAGGGAGGACAGGACATTTGGCGCCCCTCTCTAGCTTGTCTTGATGTAAGTTCTATAGGTCTTTGGAATCATTTTCGAATATGCTTCTTTACAACTTTAAAATCAATATCAGTAACAAGTAAGTTGAATGAAAAATATTCTGTTACCTAGTTTAGAAAGGTCTTTGGGAATTTTAGACCTTTTTAGGAATATTGGAGCCTTATATCTTCCACCCCCAGGGTTGTGCACTTCATTAATTTGTATTGTATCATCAGCAAGATAATACAAAATAATCAACTTTCTCTTATCTGTAAAATTTTGTTTTAGTTTGATAGATATAATAAATTACATAAAAAATATTTTAGATTTTATTAGCTACTAATTAACTGGCCCAGCATTACCTTGGAAAATTTTTTTTTCAAAAGTCGCTACCCCCCCCCCCCGACTGTTAGTGACATATAAACAAATGTCATTTATATAGATGTTTTATTATATAGATAATACATGCCTTGGCCATCATGGAATGTTCCATCAAATCGTAGTTTTTTAGCTTCATCCACCATTAAGTTGCCAGACTTGAGAATTTTCTTTAATGGTTTTCGTGGATTCACAGTTTCTTATCAAATATTTTCCTGTTGATTAAAAAAGTATCTGTCAAGCAAAAATCATCTTACTAATTTTGCTGGATTGTTTAGAACTTTTAAACTGGGAAGAGCAGGGGAGTGGAGTCAAATTGCCTGAATCTTTTTGTATGGGAAAGAGTTCAAATTTGAGACTTATCATCTTTCCATTTATAATAAATTAAATGGAAAACTATTTCCACAAGTCATTGTGGCCTGGTAAACTTTTCTAGCAATTCTTGAAAATATCATTTGCCTAGAATGTCTCTTCTTGAGCTGTACTGATCCAATGGCACAGCTTCCTTGAAATTGTATCATTTAAATTAATCAGAAATTCAAAGTTTTTTTAAGGATAACAAAAATGTGTGTATTTAAATGCAAATTATTAAGAAAAATAAATTTTTATTATTCTGTTTTGCTTTGTGTGAAACTAGCTGAAGTGCCTGGAATTACCCCTGGAATAAAAAATCCAATTTTGAAAAAAGATATTTTTTAGCCTTTATACCTGTGGGTTCTCTAAAACAAATTTCAGCCAATTTGGTTCAGCCTCTTCCTTATAAATAAATGTATGAATATTAGCAAAGCTTTATTACCTGCTGTCCAACAGCTATTCCTTGGCATACAAGAAAATGTCTTGTGAAAGCATCACAATCATAGATTTTATACATATTTCCATAGATGTTTATGTCAACACCAATATTTAGGTCCCACAAAGTGATGTTGGCAGAATTTCTGATAACAATTTTTAAATTCCAAAATTTTCAAAATAATATTAAATTATCTAAAAATAATTGATTATTGAAATGAGTGTTTACAATTGATATTTTTTTTATGTGAAAGTAAACAATTTTGTATTATTCACTTAAAAATTTGCAATTTGAACATTCGATAGTTAATCTTAAAACCAAACTTGAAAAAAGATCAAAATTTCCTTGGTCTGTTTGTTTTGTTGAACTGAGTGTAGGGAACTCTATGCCTTCTCACAACCCGTCCTTGTTGTAATCCTAAACATTTTTTAAAGGGACTGTAAAGGAAAAATGATGGGATGAAACCTGAGAATCTCAGGCGTTGAACGATTTATATAAGATATCTATCTGAACAGTATATATATAGTATATATATATATACAGACCAAAATCATGTGACCAGTATATTGAAATGCCATTGGCCATTGGGTGATGTTCTAGTGACGTAATACAGACTATACAGACTATATTTAATAATATTATCAATAATATCTATTAAAAATGCAAAATAAAAATTAAAAAATTATAATAGGAGCAAACCTGAGATTCTCAGGCTCCTGTGGGATATAATCATTTTCAGATTGGTTGCATATTTGCTGAATATGAACCTACTACTTTTTTACAAAATTGTATATACAATGAATTTTCATATAATTTTGACACAGTTTTATATCAATTTCTTGAGACAGGAACATCAGATGTCTTATATGTATCTTTCAATTCCTGATATTCTCAGGTTTCATCCTTAACCCTCTTTCATTTTTCATTTACAGTCCCTTTAAGAAACACTGTAACTTTCAATGAATTCTGGATGCATATATCTTATTTTTGAAAAGATTCATTAAGCTTAACTTATGATACATGAACAGTATTTTACCTGAATTTTTTCTTTTTTCCTCTGAAATTGAGAGTGTATCATCCTCCAGGTAAAAGTACAATTTAAACTTTCGATGTCTTAAAACAATAAAAATATTCAAATAACAAAATTTTAAATTTTATTTCATGGTTTTGTAAACAGGTCTCCACCAAAAGCTAATTTGTATTAAGTTTGAGCAGACTTTGTGTGGAATGGTGAAAAAATACATTTGGCTCAAACCAATTCAAATGGTGCATTCAAATAATCTTTTACTGCTAGTTTTTTTTTTATAACACGCTGAATATCTATTATAGTGCATTTATTTAGATTTGATAAAGCAAAAATATTGATAAAAAGGGCTTTTAGAAAAGTTAATGTTTGCCCACTTTTTGCAATTCACATTGTGCATGTTGTTAGCCCAATTTTAGGTCAAGATTATTAGCATTATTGTTTGCGCAACATATTTTCCACAAACAAATGCCAAAAATGTGCAAACTATAGCAAAAGAATTGAGTTTTGCCACAAACTCAAATTAATCCCTATATATTTGCAAGCTAATGGGTTGAACCTTTTCTATTTCAAACTTACTATATTTGATCCAACAGAAATTATAGTTTGAAATATATAAGGTCTGCTACATCAGGTTGCAAAGATAAAGACTCAATTGGGGCAGTGATGTTTTAAAAATTTTCAAATGGTACTTAGCATGTTCTTACCTATCTTGTTCTTCTTGGCTGCTGTACACTTGTTCTATTGTGTAACAGAAAAATGTTAGTATCTGTCTATCTCTCTCTATCCAGGGGGGTCTTGACCTTGTTGGTGCACTTCCTGGTCTAGTTGACCAGCCTAACCTTTCATCCCCTGACTTGGAGCTTTCCCATGGATCTTCAGGTCTTGGAAAAAAATGTTTGAAAATAAAATCAACACAGTTTTTATTCGGTAACCTTCCTCCCAGGGTCAAAACAAGGTGAAAATAGGGTGTTAGGTTCTTTCCCAAAGGCATTTTCCCAAGGGCGACTTCTCAAGTGACAATTTCCCAAGTGGCAACATTCCAAATGTTCAATTTACCAAGCGGCAACTTCCCATAGGTTAGGTAAGGCCCTATAAGGCGCCGCAGGCTGCAATGGGCCGAACGCTGTGGCTAAGACAGACTTGGAAAAATTGCCACTTGGGAAATTGCACATTTGGGAAGTTATCACTTGGGAAAATACACTTGGGAAAAATCCTTTGGGAAAGTACCTAACATCGAAAATAGGACAATTCAACTTTTGGAAAAAAATGAATACTTAGATTAAATTACTTAACAAAACAAAACAGGTATTTATTAGTTAAAAAAGAAAAAAAAATATCTGTCAATTACACTAATTTAAGTCTCAGTAATCAAAGAGACATTGGCCCCACATGCAAACATAAAATGACTAAGATTAAGTCAGACATGTTGGTAATAATTAAGATCAATAATAGACCATTTAAGAAAAACATATTTAAATCAAATATATTGATAAGTAAAATGATAATCACCTGTAGTTTAACTTTGTTCCACCAATTCCACACTTTGCAGGTTCAACATGTGCTGTATCATTCACATAAACACAGTGCTGGGACTTGTAGTGTTTTTGTGTCCGACTTGACGCGTAGGGGTTCACTGATTCTTCTCGAAACAGATTTTGATTCACCCCGAAAGGTCCATGACCTGAGCCTCTACTGTTTGTTTCACTATAATACGGTTCACGGATACAATGTGCTGATTTTGGACGGTCGTCCCGCATTTTCGCTTTAGTTTATTCCCAAGTAGCTAACATGGTTTACTGTGATCTCATGTGTTGCATAAAACGTGCTGGGTCGACTTTACACTGGATGATACTGTACGACTGAGTGTATATACAGTACACGTTGTACTGGCTCGGATCTTGCAACTTTTAGAGTGGGGTGCTAGTTTAGTACATGTCAACTAAAGTATCCAAAACTGACTAACGTGGTTAATTTGAAATTCAATATGATTACTCCGTAATTCTATTGTTTTATCAATAAAAAATATCCCTGTAATACAATATATAAGCTTTCCCTATACTTCCCTTGTCTTTTTTCCAATAAATAGATAATATTGATCATATAAATATTTAATATTATTTACTTTAGAAATCTAGATAAATGTTAAATATTTCTAAAAATAAAATATGACAAAGAATGTGCACACAATTTCATAAAATTGTTTATATTTTCATTTTTAAATGTACAATGTACTTACACCTTATTCTATTTTATGATGATAATCCTGATTTTAGTTCTAGGGCTTTTAAAGAAACACTAAAATTAAAATTTTTCTTGTCATGTGAAATGTCGCATAGCATAGTGCAACACAATGAGGTTTATGGTTCATAAAACAAGATATTTTTAAAATTCATTTTAATTCAAATATAAATATATTGCACAATTAAAACATCGATATCTAATAAAAACTGATTATACGTACAGTCCCTTTGAAAAGGAAAAATAAAAAAAATAAATATCTTTGTAACCAAATGCCGTAGAAACCGAATTCATATTTGTTGTTTTTAATGTCATGATTCCTTTGAATTCCATAGATAAGGACTGAAATATCATAGGTGTATATCATCAGGTTACAAAGATATAGAAATTGGAAAATTATATTTCCTTTGTTTTTTTTCCCAAAAATTGTTGTTCAACCCAATAACTCATCAATAGGAGGAGTTCTAATTGAAAGCATGTAAGATTTTAGTTTTCAACGTGAATAAAGAGTTGTTTACATGAAGATTTATTACCTAATTTTAGATTTCTTACATCTTGATTCCATGTTGTTGATCAAACTTTGTTTTAGACCAAACCTGAAATAAACTAATTTTTTTTCACTGTTAATTTAAAATTCATTTAAAATTACACTTATCATATATGTACAGTGAAACAGTTGTCTATATTTCTCCTTTTAAACTTTGAAAAAAAGTTATACAAGATGCATGAAAATTATACAATACTAGGCTTTTAGGGCGCTTCATGCCCGTACTAGTTTTAGATTTTAACTGTCACGCACCCCTGACCCTTTAGTAGTAAAAGTAAATTCAACCAAAAGTCTAGTCCTATTGAGTGTCTGCTTTTTTTACCAAATGTCTGGGCGATACAGTACAAACAAACAGGGACTGGAAACTACTACGGCTGTCCTTGATTGATTGATTGAAAATATTTTTGTTCTTCTCAATAGCTCTCCAATTAGAGGTATTATGACTGAAACCATATACGTGAATTGTTTAATGTGACAAATAACGGAATCTTCAAACAAAAAAATTAAATAAAAAAGAATTCTACTGTTTTTTGGTTCTTACCGTCGGTTAAACAGTTTTTTTGTAATATCCCATAAATCCCATTATTTTTCTGATTTAGTCTTGAAAAAAAGTAGTTTTTTTTTTTACATCGAATTCAGTGTTCTAGAAACTTCTTCTCTTACTTATTTAAAAAAAAACCCACCAACCTGGAATGCAGAAAGTCAAACTTCAAAGAGGCCATGGCGGGCTAAAAATATTCAGATTTTACGTTTCATTCAAGCAATTTTCAACAAAGAAATGGAGTTTTTGCCACATACTAAAATGTTTCAATTCCTATATCTCTGTAACCTGACGTTGTAAACCATTGATATTACAACATGTATAATAATATCTTACAGAATTCATAGTTTGAAAAGGTCTACGACATTGGAATGCTATAAGCTATATAAGGCTTAGAAAATCAGAGTTTGTGGCAAAGACTCAATTCCTCAATGCATGTTCACAAACCTTTTCCCTTCATTTACATAGCTTTATTCATTACTTTTAGGCAATTTTTGAATGCAAATATATATATACAGTGATACCTTACATAAATGTATCTTACAACTTATGTTTTTTTTTATTGAAAGTTTTACAGTCGTCTTCCTAATCGACAGAGACCTATGTTTATCTGTATTTCTTCTTACTTTACAGATACACTGTCTCGTTTTATTCTCTACACTAATATATCTTACAGAGTTAACAAGACCAAAACTCTTTAAATATAAGAAAATAATAATTTTATTTGAGCAGCTTTATTCGATTAATTCATTTAACGTCATCATATATTAATCACTAAAGATAGAAACATTTATATAACTTCAAGGATCGAATCATGACATAACATATGAATAACATCTGTCAAGTCGTCTCATTCTTTTTGGTCAACCCTGAATATTTCAGAAACCCTATTGACATATTATACAAAACTTATTTACCTTTCTAAATATAAAACTGGATTGTTTATTTGAGGTTAGAATATTCTTTATTGAATTTTCTTGAAAGTTGCAGCGGAGTAGATTCTTAAACAATTTCAGCTTTTCCTAAAAAGCAATAAAAAATACTGACATACAGACTGTCAAGACCATAGATTAATAACAATACAAATAGAACATTAGATGTCGTCTTTTCAAGATTGAGGGGTTTTTCGTTCACAATAACCCTGAGGCAAAAGCCCAAAGGACTTGCGCGCAGGCAGCGTTGAATTACAAGACAGAGAGAGAGAGAGAGAGCGTATGCGCTGAACTCGTTTGGGCTCTGCCATAGGGTTATTATACACGAAAACCACTAAACCTTGAAAACACGGCATCTAGTGTTCTATCTGTATTGTTATTAATCTATGGCCAAGACATCTGCAATTTGAAGTGTTTTTATGTCCAATTCACAACAGGACTATTTCAGCCTTTTATTTTGGTTTAACTACAGTGATAACCAGAAACTCTGAAAAAGGAAGACAATCTTTAGATTCAAGTTATGACTTTGAATAGTCCAATGAGTGTAAACAGACCCATTTTACTTAGTTTGTGATTTAATAAGTATATAGTAAAACTATTTGCCTTGTAACAACATCAAATACAATTAAGTATTGATGTAAAGTCGTCTTCCTATTTTCATGTTTTCTGGTTATCACTGTATAAGAAAGATATCGCCGCTTCCTGTCTGAAAAGAAACGGCTTCGTTCTTTCATTTTGATATTTCTTTAAATCCGCACATCCCTTACTTTTTTCCTAAGCCAAAGGTTTAAAGGGAACCGTTGTGAATTAGGCAATCTATATATAAATTTGGCTTGTCTGTCTGTCTGTCTGTCTGTCTGTTTGTATCCAATAAACGTCAAAACGGCTAAACCGATCGGGCCCAAATTTATGAAAAATCAAAATTTCAAATATTTGTCTCCATCAAAATTCGATCGTCATTAAATTTTTAAAAATTTTGAAAATCCGCGAAATTTTTATGAAAATCCGCGAATTATTTTTGTTTTGTTTTACGATGTACACAAAGAGAACATGTTCACAACTAATTTAGAAGATGGGCGCGAAGCGCCCTCTAAGGCTAGAAAGAAGGGCGCGAAGCGCCTTGAATTTCTAGTTCTTCTATATATAAATTTGGCTTGTCTGTTTGTTTGTCTGTTTGTTTGTTTGTATCCAATAAACGTCAAAACGGCTGAACCGATCGGGCCCAAATTTTTTGTGGGACATCTAGGGACCCCGGGAAGGTTTATAAATGATTAAAATTTTAAATATTTGTCTCCATCAAAATTCGATCGTCATTAAATTTTTTAAAATTTTGAAAATCCGCGAAATTTTTTGTGAAAATCCGCAAATTATTTTTGTTTTGTTTTACGATGTACACAAAGAGAACATGTTCACAATTAATTTAGAAGATGGGCGCGAAGCGCCCTTTAAGGCTAGTAAGATGAAAAAAAGATATGTCAAAAGTTCACATAAAAAAGATTACTGACAGTGGTAATTAATAAGTTTACCAATGAGCGTCCTTGATTTCCATTCATCTTTGCAACATGATGTTAATATGTCAAATCTGTCAGATTAAAAAGTGTAAGTTCAAAAACCACTTATAGATTAGACTACACCGTCAGGATGCAAAAGAAATTTTTGAACATTTTTTGTTTCTTGGTTAATGTTTGAATAATATTTTTAGAAATGTTCGGGCTATGCTGAAAAAATAAAAAAAAAACCTGAAAATTTCAGAATCAAAAGAAACAAGATTATGATTTTATACATGAAACAGGGATTTAAAAACATTTAGAGGGGGAGTGGGCAAACCCCCTCCGTCCTAATTTAAATTTTTTTGTACTGTTTTAAGAATTGCAAGTTTTCCCCTTTAACTATTTAGAATTGCTACCTCTGTGGATGGAAGCTCTCTGAGAATATCAATAAAGTACCAGAGGGGCTCGAAAAAATAGGAAGCCAGTCGAGAAGCTGAAACATAAAAAATAGGAAGCTATAGTCTAAAAGCTGAAACATAAAAAATAGGAACAGGTCGAGAAGCTGAAACAAAAAATAAAAAACCAGTCGAAAAGCTGAAAAATAAAAAATAGGTAAAAAGCTCAAACATCAAAAAAGGGAAACCGGTCGAGAAGCTGAAACATTAAAAATAGGAAGCCAGCTAAGAAGCTGAAATATTAAAAATAAGAAGCCATCTGAGAAGCTAAAACATAAAAAAATAGGAAGCAAGTCGAGAAGCTAAAACATGAAAAATAGGAACCCGGTTGAGAAGCTGAAACATCAAAAATAGGAAGCCAGCTGGGAAGCTGAAATATTAAAAATAGAAAGCCAGCTGTGAAGCTGAAGAATAAAAATAGGAAGCTAGTCGAGAAGTGGAAACATAAAAATAGGAAGCTAGTCGAGAACTTGAAACATAAACAATACTCTCAGTGGGCTGAGAGACTGAAACTTAAAAAAATAGGCATGCAGCCGAGAGACTTAAACATTGCAAATATAAAGCCAGTCGAACATTTTAAAGGCTCATGGCCTCTATAATTTTTTTTTCTTCAGAATTTTTGAAATTTCATCCTTTGTAAAAGGAACATTTCACTAAAAATAAAGCTATTATTGTAACATAAAGAGGGATGTTAAATACAAATCTGAATATTTCATAAAAGTAAATTTGTAAAGAACTGAACCTGAGATTAATTCTCCTGTGTAGGATGAACCAGAGCGGGGGGTTGAGGTTATTATTATCACATTTATATTCTAAACCATGCAGAAATAAGAATATTTTTTAGCAAATAAACAATTGTGTATTATTGTTTATCAAATCAAAGATCAGTGGAAAGAGTGAAACCAGTTTGGTTTGAAATATTAACCGGAACATTTTTAAATTACCAACATTTTGATCCAAGTTGTCACCAGAAGGACAGGGATATATCCCATATATCTCTTTATCATTCAGTTAGTACAGGGCGAAAAACAATGATATTAGAATGTTCGACATTACAAAATCTTACTATATTCGTCTATCAGATAACAGAAACCAGAGTTTACTGATTACAGATAACAGAGTTTAGAGTATAGAAAACAGAGTTTAGTAATTACAGATAACAGAGTTTAGAGGTTACTTTCTACAGATAACTAAGAGTTTAGAGATTACAGTCTACAGATAACAGAGTTTAGAGATTACAGTCTACAGATAACAGAGTTTAGAGATTACATCCTACAAAAAACAGAGTTTAGAGATTACAGCCTACAGATAACAGAGTTGAGAGATTACAGTCTACAGATAACAGAGTTGAGAGATTACAGTTTACAGATAACAGAGTTGAGAGATTAATTTCTACAGATAACAGAGTTTAGAGATTACTTTCTACAGATAACAGAGTTGAGAGATTACAGTCTACAGATAACAGAGTTGAGAGATTACAGTCTACAGATAACAGAGTTGAGAGATTACAGTCTAGAGATGACAGAGTTTAGAGATTACAGTCTACAGATAACAGAGTTTAGAGATTGCAGACTATAGAAAAGCACTACAAAAAGTAAAGTCTGTATAATATAATAACATTGTACAAAAAACACATTTCAGAAAAAAATTGGGTCGGCGTGAAATTGCAGTGAAAAACATGAATTAAATTTTTGCGAATTAAACTTGATGCGCGCATTCGTATACAGTTGACATTCATAATATATATATTTTTATATATGATGTACTTTAAGCAACACTTATTTGACCGCTAGGTATCTCTGCTCTCGATATTTCAGGAAATAAACAGATAAAACTCAGATTTGTAGCGATCGAAATTCAATTCGATATTGGCCTAGACCCCTTTCATTTTCCGCAAACACTCCCTTTAAAAAGATATTCTAATATTTGTTCCCTGATCGGATGGATGAGATGGATAGGTTTGGACGATGTTAATGTCGTTTTCAACAGGGAGTAGACCAGGGGTGTCTAAATATAAATAATAAATTAGTTTTTTTTCTTCTAATTTTGTTTACTTTTTATTATTATTATTATTATATAGAATAATTCACACACAAAGATATAAATACATATATAAATGGTTCAGAGTTGAAATAAATTTTTGAATATATAGCTTTACAAAAGAAAAAAAATATGCAAAATTATGCACACATTGGCGACATGTGTTTCTTAACTAACATTTTACAAAGATCAGAAAGATTTAAGAACAATCAATTGCAATGGAAAATAAATTTCTGCCAAGAACTGTGTTAAGGTCATTTTTGCATACATTAGAAAAAAATCTAATCCAAAGCTTAGAACTTGCTTCAATAGTCTCATAGAAAGACATACATCTACTAGCTAACATAGTTTTTACATGTAAACATTGTGAACTAATTTCAGTCAAGTACCCTTTCGCACAAAGAAAGATTGCAGTGTTTTCCGTAAATACGAGAAATCCATTTCTGGAGTTGTTCTCTTCTCAGAACGGGAACTATTGGATTAAGCTCCCCTTTGCATTAATTAATTAAAATAAAGTAATGAATTTGTACATGTACTTGTAAAATATAATAACATTAAAACTACTGAGTAACTTAATTGAGAAAAAATGATGAAAAGAAGCATTAAATATAAGCTGTAGAGGTTAGAAAATTATATTTAGTGGCGAGTACTCATAATTTTTACCGTTTCTGTTTATAACTGAAGGTGAGAAACCAATAAACTGAAGAAGAGCCCCACCGAAAACAAAACTAGAGAGAGAAAAAATGTATAGTTCAATATGTAAAGATGTAGTCTCTGTTTGGGTGTTTGTTTGTATGCCTGATCATAGCTCAAGAACCCCTTGACTTTTCGAAAATAGTCTTTTTATAGCTTTTTAATTGATTGGGAAAAGAAAGAAACAAGAATTTACAGGGCATCAGAAATGTAAGGAAACAGACGGTTAAAATTCCATACAGTCGTCTTAGAAGTTTCATCCTTTATGGCAACCCTTCAACTGACAGGATGACAAAAAAAAGAATCGTAGAAAAATCAAAAATAATAATGATTACCTCAAAAAAACGCTTTTCCAAGAGAGCTGAGAAAACGACCCACTGCAGCATATGGTGCTCTTCTTGAAGAAATAGATTTAGAAATTAGAGATTATATTTTACAACATGTATTCATGTTAGTAAATCAACACATTTTACAAATTGCTTTAAAAATTAACTTAAATTAAATGATACGACACTGTGTTTAATGTACATTTGTGTTTAAGTTGATGGAATTATTCAAAATCATAATTTGAATCTTATTCCTATTCCACAGTTTTATGGGTCTCACTGTAGGTTAAACAATAGTTTTAAGATCTACTATAAGAATTTGTTTTATAACTTTTTTTCAAAAATGTTATTTTAAAACTTGTTTTTCTCTGCTACTCAAAATTTTATTAAGTTAATTAAAAAGTTTAAGACTTTCATCAAATCTTGGAAAAAAGGGAGTACTTGTTTACTCAAATCTAGACAACAGGAAAAGATCAAATTTACGCAAAATTAATATGACGTCTTTGTGACCTAGTAGCTCTATCTAGCGTTTATTTTACGCCCAATCATGATAAATGTACTTTTCTTTTTTATCAGAACTTCAGAAGTGTTTCCGGAATAGGAGCTTTGAATAAAACAAATGCAATATTGTTTATCAATCCATAAAAAATGTTTTCTGGCATATTTTGATGGATATTTTGAAAGACTTTTGATCTAAATCTAAACTCAAATGCTTTACTTCAAATAAAGAAAAATAAGGTTTTATGAACGTTTTCAAAAAAGGTCAAGGACTATTTTTGGCTTATTCAGTAAGCCTTAGCAAGGCAAGATCATTATTGAAAAAGTTTTCCAAAATTTTCTTTTTTCCAGAAAATCTTTAAATAATATTATTAACTATCAATTATAAGCAGAAGTAACCCCTTTTGCAAAAATTGCAATGCGCAATTCACAATGGTACCTTTAAAAGCTTTTACTGCAAATTAAGCGTTATTTGGATATTAATGTTTATAATTTTGAAAACTAATTATTTTCAATTTTTGGTTTCCTGCGCATTTCTAGTGCAAAAAAACAAAAAGGAATTATCAGAATTAAACACTTTTAAACAAATAAAACCGGCAAAATTTCGATATAAATCAGATAAAGTTTTCAAGGTCACCGTTGTGAATCGGGCATTGCCATCCTTGCATGGAGGGTCACTTGAAATTACGCTTACAGTCCCTTTAATCTATATTTACCCATGGTTTCATGATGTTCCTGTAAACTGAATGTGGAGAGTTGACTGGATTCAACCATTGCACATGTACACGTCCCGTCAATCAATCATTTCTGAAAAATATCAACATACAGATAGTTCCTTATACTCTGGTAGAAGAAACCTAACATACGGTTCGTTATACTGAACACATATTTGGAAATTACAAACATCTTGGTTGAAATTACAATCATTTTGTTCAAAATTACGAACATGTTATTCGAAATTAGGAACATTTAGTTCGAAGTTATGAACTATAAGTTTGAAAAGAGGAATATTTTGTTCGAAATTAGGAACTCTAATTGTTCGAAATTAGGAACATTTAGTTTGAAATTAGGAACTATTAATTCGAAATTAGGAATATTTAGTTCGAAATTAAGAATATTTAGTTAAAAATTCGGAATATTTAGTTCAAAATTGGGAATATTCAGTAAGAAATTAGGAATGTTTAGTTCGAAATTGGGAATATTAAGTTCAAAATTAGGAATATTTTGTTCGAAATAACGAACAGACTGTGAGAGATATAAATATTTTTGAGGTATAACTAACAATAAATGATTTTTATTTTGAACAAAATCTTTGTGATTTCTAAAATGTTTTTAATAATTTAGGTTTTCTGAACAAAATGTTATGATTTCTTATAAAACATGGCATATATAGTATATACTACAACTACACTTACATTCAAAACATTGTTTACATTTTACATGGAGCTGAACTGGTGTTTCTTTTGATTTTATTTCATAATATTTCAAATAAAGTTAGGAACTTAAATTAAATCTGTGCAAGCAGATTATAATAAACCTTCGATATTTCAATAAATTCGAAAACTATAAATTTTGCTAGATACTCTGGCTACAGCTCGAAGCTCTGAATCTTCTAAGGTTTAAAACATCAGCTTGCAAAGATATAGAGATTTAAAAATTTGAGTTTGAAGTCGGCGATAAGATACATAATACATATATATTTGTTATTATAGTTGCAATTATGCTTGCTTTCACAATTCTTTGTTTTACAAATAGGTTTACAAAGGTTTACAGAAAATAGCCGCTTTCCCTAAAAAAGCTGATGTCTAGAGAACAAATCTGTCATTGAATTTTTTGGCGTAATTTCAGGTAAACATTTATTTATAGACGGGTTTGTACGATTCACAACGATACACTTTTATTTTACATTATTTTTTATTTCAAAAAGTAACTTGCGCATATCTGGTGCAGGAAAAAAATGTAGGAAATATAAGAATTTGTCAACTTTTAAACAATTATCAATTAACAATTAACAATTATCCACATTAATTCATCAGATAAATGTTTTTAAGGTTATCATGTCAATCGGACATACCCCTCTTTTTATAAATGGAGGCTCATTGGAACTTTTAACGATAATCCCTTCAAACCAAAAATATTAATTCGAAAGTATTTTAATTAACCATATATGGCCAGTCGAAGAAAAAACAACTAATAAAACAATGTTTTTGTTTGTTTGAAGGTGTTAAGGCTTTTAGACATTAGCCTTCTTAAGGTTTACAAATCGTAAACATTAAAATAATTTGTTTCCTTTTCGTATAAAAAATAATAAATCAAAGTAAAGTTTGTGCATTAATTGTTTTAAGTAATTGTTTTAATTAATGATTTTTCTAAATTATTTTAAATAGAAAAAATTGTGTCGACATTTTAGAGAAACAATTAGAGAAACCTTGAACTTTTAAACTTTTAACTATTTGGAGAAAATAACTTTTTTCTTTGCACACAAATTAATATTTAATTATTTTTTTTCAAGGGGACATCAGAGAAGGGTGGAAATGAAAATCATTTCTAATTTTAACCTGAGCATAACAATTGCTGTCCTTGAAATTTTATGAATACTTTACTTGTTTTAAAACTTTTGCAAGAATTTAATATTTTCTTATCGATTTAATAAGAATGTTTAGTATTCAGGTTGAACAAATTATTATACTCTCATGGAACTTTCCTTATTTTGATACATACAATCACGAAATATAGAGTTTATAAATGCAAAATTATATCTCTTGAAATTAAGGAAGACAGACACGTCAACAAGTCAATTTTAAAGTGACAATTGACCATATTTCAAGTGACCACCAACATTTTAAGAATTGTGTCATACATGATAGACAAAGGTACCCTTTAACCTTTAATTTAATAATTTTCTTTGTATAATAAGCAAGATATTTCGTAGAAAAAAACAACATTTGGGAATTAACAATTTTCTGACAATACATCAATTGTACTAATACAAAGTGTTGATGAGTTTCAGTTCAAATCTGGCCTGGCCCTCTTTAAATAGAGTTTTACTTGATTAATTCTTTTAATATCTCACTAAACTTGACATAAGTTGTCTAATAAATTCAGTTTTATGTTTGGCACGTCTTGCAAGGTTTGTTTCAATTGGCTGGATTTTTCAACAATCATGGAAGCTTTTAAATAACATTTTTCGTGAACACATTTCTTAAAGTGTAAAATATGTACGAATACGATCTATAGCACTATTTTAGTTTTTTTTAATGCAAAATATAATTAAGTAGCATTTTTTGTAAAACCAAAAAAAAATTTGTCAAGTGTTTTGTTACCTTTAAACATGTAATTCAATACCCTTTAAACATGTAATTTCAATATCCTTTGAACAATTAGTTTTTAAATGATTTAAATTAAGGGCGAATTCGCGATTTAATTAGGCAAAAAAATGTTCGTCCGATGTGATACCTCTCAAACTCATCTGCTAATTCTTTGTTTTCTTTTTAAAACATAATACTCCTGAGAAGCAGCAAGCGTGTTTTCTAAACAAAACTACCCTAAGTAGCAGCAAGCTTGGTGTTTAAACAAAACACTCCTGAGTAGTGAGTAGCAGCTAACTTGTTGTATAAACAAAACACTCCTGAGTAGCAGCAAGCGTGCTGTTTAAACAAAACACTCCTGAGTAGCAGCAAGCTTGTTTTCTATTTCCTCACTGTTACTGAGCTCAAGAATATTCCCAAGATGTTTATTTAACTCCTCCCTCTGTTTCTCATGAATTTTCCTGAAAAAGATAACAATATAACCCACCCTAAACTCATATTTTTCTATTTCCCTACATCTTTGCAACCTAATTGTTTAAACTTTTGATAATAAAAAGTTAGTTATATCATCTAACAGATTGAATAGATTGAAATATAAAAGGCAACATCATCAGGTTGCAAAGACACAATTTCAGAAAAAAAGAGTGTTCAGTTCCTTTACTTAAGATTGATTTTCCACTAAAACTTCTTCTGATTATAAAAGTTATAGAAGAGCGATCGCGGTGCTTCTTCTTTTTTTATCTTACAAAAATATCTTTTTAATTTTTCTCTTTTTTGTTAGTTTTCAGTTAAACACCTTTCTTTTTCATTATTTTAGCTTTTCCCTGCATTTGTCTTATTAGTATTTTTTATTAAATGTCAAAATTCTGCAGAGGTTTATTTTTATAATATTTTTACCCCCTCGCCCCTGGATTATGGGAGTGGGGGGAGGGGGGTATGAAAATTATACGTAGTTTAAAATTTTTCTGAAGGGAATCGTAAAATTTTCAATTTTAGAATATTGTTTGTTTAAACATCTTCTTTGAATTTGAAATTAATGATTATACAAATATATATCAATTTAATTTGTTAAAAGATTATTTGTTTTAAATACTAGAAACTCGGCAGCTGAAAATGCATTCTTTTCTTTTTTGAGTAACTTTTTTTCAATTTAATGGGACCTTCATCGTTGTTTCAAGTGACATCCATGCACAGATGGCAATGCTCAACTCACAACGGTACACTTGAAACCTTTATCTGATCAATATTGTGAAATATATATAATGGTGTTTGTAAAGGTTTAAATGAGTTTTTTTTATATATCCACTAGTCAGTCATTTCTGTAGAGAAACCACACTTGAAAATAGAAAATTGGTTAAAATTATAAACGTTGATTTATTTAATTTATAGTTTTAAGCGTACAATTGTAAATAGGATATGTCCATCCCTGCACAGAGTGGGTAACATCACTAAGCTTACAAAATATTTTTTTTTTTACCTTAACTGTTCCTTCTCTTTAGCTTGTCGAATAGCTTGGGACTTTCTTTCTTCAATAAACTTTTTAGTATTGTTCTCATTCTTTTCTCTGCAGACGTAAACATTATTTAACCAGGTTTAGAGGTGCTGTACACTTTTCTCAACATAAAGGTATACAACTTCTATTTTGCAAGCAAACCAATTTAAAATAAAAACCACCTTTAGATATAAATATATGTTGCTTATAGCCGGCCAAACGACTAGACCGATTTGGTTGAATTTTTTGTGGACACTCAGGGGTGGTCGGGGGGTGTTTTAGGCTAAAAAAGTCGTTTTTTTTGTTCAAAATTATTACTTTTTTGTTCAAAATATAATTTTTTGTTCAAAATTTTATTTCCATGGGCAACGTGGCGGGGCCTTTAGCTAGTCTTTAATTAAAGTCTCTTTTTTACTTAAATGTTCTAATATTTTACCAATAGGAGGAGATCATTCATTTGGCGCACAGTTGCGGTTTGCCTATAATTTTACAGTACAGCTTGCTCTAGTACAGCTTCACTACAGTACAGCTAGCTCTAGTTGGTGAAAAGTCTGCGCGGTACTTGAAATGAGCCGTAGTAAAGGATATTTTTCAAGGAATGAACAAATTATCCGAGACAAAAAATGTTTCCTTATCCGACGATCTTTCTCTGCTTTTGTTTTCAAAGCTTTATCATTCTGAACATCCCTGAGAGTCTCTACACTAGCTCGAGCCTGAGCAGTCTTCATATCCTAGTCACACAGAAAAATGTTGAAAATATATACATTTTGATTTTATTCATCAATGTTTAAAGGGATTTTCAAATAAGCAAATGTTAGATCACACACACAATTTGATAGTTTTTAAATTTAAATTTTAAATTTCTCAAATTCAAATTTTTCTTTTCCGATCTTTGTAATCTGGCGGTGTCAGCCCATAATTCCAATCCGATTGGGCTATCGAAAAAAATGAGATTTTTAAATAAATAATATTTAGCAAAATTCATAAAAAAATATTCTAGACTATTTTAAAACAACAACTGTACAAAAAATATTTATTTGTTTTGCAAAATTTGTTTACAACCATCAAGATGAAAAGTTTAATAGTTCTTGAGTTTTCTCTGACTATTGCATCTTCTTTTTTGCTGATCATACATCTGTTTTTTGCTGATCATACATCTGTTTTTTGTTCCTTTCTTTTAGATCTACGAATTCTAATCCCTTGTAGACAAGAGAAAAATGCATTTTGACACATATTTCTGATTTATTTTTGCATGTTAACATTAGTTTTTCATGCAGAGGTGTCAAATTTCTCTGACAAGTGATATTGAGGAATGATGATGCAACTGCTTTTCATCCAGCTATTGTTCATATTGATATATTCTCACAGGTTGGAAACATAAAAGTCACTGCTTAGCAGGGTTTGAAAATCCATTGTCAGAATTCCACAGTAATAATGACAAATGGGATAAGAAAGGTTAGGCAAGGAGTGGATATTTTGGACACCAGAATTCTTGATTTTTGTAAGTTCATCTTTGAGAGAGTGCTTCAGAATACGGCCTCATCTACAGCAAACATAGTGCATGGTGCACAACCTACAGGATTCTTTTTTCTATGTTTCCATTTTCCTTGCTTCTGGCAAGAGGAAGGGGGAAGAGAAGATAGAGATTCCCGTCTTTCTCTCAATCAATATTTTTTATTCCAAGTATGTTTTATTCCACACAGGGTTCTCTTTAGACACAAAAAACTAGAGAGAGTTGTATGAGAACCTGACTGTTCTGAGCTCCCTTAATGCTTAGACATAGTACTAGATTTGGTCGAAAGAATTAATGTCTTTCCGATTTGTTCTGATACTTAATAACAGCTAAGGAGTATATTTAAAACTGCCAGTAGCAAAATCTTGATCCAGCTAGGTTAAATACCTCTATTCTCCAGGTTAATACAGCTTTAAAATATGAATGCAGGTCTTTAATGTTTCTTTAAGTTCCATTTTTTTCTTTTTCATTTGTGTGCAGGGGTTTATACCCCCCATATACACCTCTGGCTAAAGTTTCTCTAGTTTGCCATTTTCTTTTTCTCACCCTGTATCTCTGAATACTTTTAGAAGCCCTAGCAAGACCTAATTGTTGCTTCTCTGAAAGCTGAATGTACATTGATTGTGATAGAGTTAATTCATCAAAATGTCTACGACATCAGGTTGCACATATACATGGATTACAAAATTAGCCTTTTAAGCATGCAATCAATTTAATTTATAATAATTTTGTTGAAAGTTAATGTTTTAAATAGAGTAAGAAATGAAAGTTTAGAAAACTATGGCATTTGCTTATAAAGATGTTTTTTTACATATCTATTTTGGAATTTGAAATTTTTAACAATATTCTTTAAATAGTTATATGATAGCAGATGCAAATATTTTGACATTTCTATATTCCTTGTTCTTCCTTTTCTTCTTGTTTGTACATCCTTCAATCATATTTTGACTAATTTTGAAAAAGAAGAAATTTTTAGACCGATTTGGTTGAATTTTTTGTGGACACTCAGGGGTGGTCGGGGGGTGTTTTAGGCTAAAAAAGTCGTTTTTTTTGTTCAAAATTATTACTTTTTTGTTCAAAATATAATTTTTTGTTCAAAATTTTATTTCCATGGGCAACGTGGCGGGGCCTTTAGCTAGTCTTTAATTAAAGTCTCTTTTTTACTTAAATGTTCTAATATTTTACCAATAGGAGGAGATCATTCATTTGGCGCACAGTTGCGGTTTGCCTATAATTTTACAGTACAGCTTGCTCTAGTACAGCTTCACTACAGTACAGCTAGCTCTAGTTGGTGAAAAGTCTGCGCGGTACTTGAAATGAGCCGTAGTAAAGGATATTTTTCAAGGAATGAACAAATTATCCGAGACAAAAAATGTTTCCTTATCCGACGATCTTTCTCTGCTTTTGTTTTCAAAGCTTTATCATTCTGAACATCCCTGAGAGTCTCTACACTAGCTCGAGCCTGAGCAGTCTTCATATCCTAGTCACACAGAAAAATGTTGAAAATATATACATTTTGATTTTATTCATCAATGTTTAAAGGGATTTTCAAATAAGCAAATGTTAGATCACACACACAATTTGATAGTTTTTAAATTTAAATTTTAAATTTCTCAAATTCAAATTTTTCTTTTCCGATCTTTGTAATCTGGCGGTGTCAGCCCATAATTCCAATCCGATTGGGCTATCGAAAAAAATGAGATTTTTAAATAAATAATATTTAGCAAAATTCATAAAAAAATATTCTAGACTATTTTAAAACAACAACTGTACAAAAAATATTTATTTGTTTTGCAAAATTTGTTTACAACCATCAAGATGAAAAGTTTAATAGTTCTTGAGTTTTCTCTGACTATTGCATCTTCTTTTTTGCTGATCATACATCTGTTTTTTTGCTGATCATACATCTGTTTTTTGCTGATCATACATCTGTTTTTTTGCTGATCATACATCTGTTTTTTGCTGATCATACATCTGTTTTTTG